CATTTGCATATTTATTCTAAACCAGATGTTCTTCAAGCAGTACAGCCAAATTACCATCGTCACTACAATCATATTCTGGGTTTCTAAAATAATGGAGTCATTAAAATTCCACCACATGCTTCTTAGTTAGAAAAAAAGGGTCATTAAAATTTTCCAGGTGAATTCTAAATGAATCCTAATTAAGGAGAAAAATCCCTAGGTAATGTTAATTGTCACTATTTCTATCACAGAAAGATCTGGTTTATACCAATGACTATTATATTCTTTTGCAAGAGCTGTTATCTATGTTACAGAAAAGGCACTTGGAATAAAGTTTGAAAACATATAATGTATTGGTTTTGCCATAGACTTATATCTGAGTTTTGTTTTTAATAAAACTTCTGAAATTATAACTTTTACTTTGAGAATTAAAAGTTCTCAAATGTAAGTTACTTTAACTTACAAAGGTAAGTTAAAATATCAATCTTTTTTAATGTTTGATATCTGGTAACATGTAGCACGATTAATCACTGTTAAATGAACTAATCCAAACCTCTGGAATGCAAAGAATGAGAGTGACATTGTTTTCTGCTAAAGCTGGAAGGGAAAGTTTCAATCCATACAGTGACAAAGAAAAAAAAAGTCATATAAGAAAGAGAGATTTATTTTCTGAGAAGGGAGCCAAGAGTAAGTGGAACTGGGTGAGGCTGGAGACTACATTCAAATAGACTTTTCTGATTCAACGTGACATTGTTTTTCTAAACGAAAAATTCCAGACAGTCAGAAAGCAGAGGGAATACCCAGGAAAAACATACATTTGGAAGTGCTACTTTGTATTAAAAAATAATGTCTTGGGGCCAGGAACTGCCCTTTGAATTGTGGCACTGAGAAGTGAGCACAGAAGTCAAAAAATGGCACACCTGGTCGTTTAGCATTTCTTAAATGATTAAATCATTCTCTCCCAGCTGACAGCGAGAGCTGCAGGCAGCAAAAGGCATCTCCCAGTGGCTGAGGCCCTGAACATCCCATTACACGTCCTGCAAGACACCCAGATGCCAGAGCAAAGGAGAAGATTTATTGAGGCTATTTAAGTTTCAAGTTTGCTTTGGGGCTACACATGGTATAAGGCAGTTCAGCCTGAACAGGCCAAGCAGAGGAAGGGAGGGGAATATATTTAAGTAATCCAAAGCATAGTGGGTGATGGAGTATCTTAGTATCTTATTCTGGTCAAAAGAAGCAAAAGAAAAGAGTCAGTGAGAGAAGGGGAAAGACAGAGATTTGGTCCAAAATAGGGCACAGCTCAGAAATGGGACAGGTCTGCTGATGTGGCAACCACCACATCACTCACTGGAGTAGGAAGGAGCTAATTGGTCACTGTTAAAGGCCTGTCCCAAACTCATTGGAAAACTGCAGCAGATATGATGGAAAGACATCCCTTGGCAATGGCACAAGAAGTTCTGCACTTGGAGCTTGCACCAGCAGGCAAAGGTCAGCCCAGGCACGTAGCTGCAGTTGCAAAACATTGCTGGACATTTCCGAGAGAATGCCTGGCAAACTGTGGTCTCGAAGCTGGGTGGATAAAGGTCTACAGCATTTCATTAGGTCCCAAGCATTTCATTAGCATCTCATTTTAAAAAATTGTGTTTGTTAAAAAGCTGTGTCTGAAATGTTTGGAAAGCTCGGTGTAGACAGGCATGATCTACTGCAGTAAGTATGAAGTTCTGTCTAATGAGACCTAAGTCACTGTAAAGTTGACTTGAGCACAGGAACACAGAGAAATGTTAAACAGTCCGAGTTGAAACAAGGCACAACACTGCTGAAAGAAAAGGCTATCACTAATCAAAATATTACAAATTCACCTTTCTGGGGGTATTCACACAATTCTATCATGCAAAAGAATAGTTCTTTGGAAAAACACTTTCTTCTCTCCTGCAATGTTTACATTAATATAGATTTTTTTAGAAAACAGGAATGTAAAGAAAACTTCTAAGAAAGTTAGATATGTCTTTTCTAAGAAAGCTAGAAATTTTTTTTTCTAAGAAAATTATCTTTAAACTTTTTACTAAGCCAATGAAAAACTGAATTGTTTTGTGGTTTTACCCCCATGTTTTTATGATGGTGAGGAAATTATGCATAAAAGTACTAATTCGTGAATGTGTGCGTTCCGAAGATTTCATTTAGGAATGATGTTCCAGTAAACAGCATATAATTTCTCAAAAGAGTTTGAAAAGTTTCCCAGTTCAGCTTATATTCACTTTATCACTAAAGTGTTGAGGAAAACAATAAATCAGAAGAAAGAAATGCCCATTTCTGGTCACTACATTTGCAAGAAAAGAATGTAGAGACTTTCTTCTGCATCATTGATTCAGACACAGATTTGCAAAAATGCTTTACTAGCTTTTCTATGCCACTCAGTCTTCAGCTCTTGCTTTTTCCACTATCACTTAAATTTCTTCTTCTAATAGTTCCAAACCAGAAGTTAATCTATCTCTGCAATGGACTAGAAATGGAATGGGTTAAAACAGATAGAGTGGGAAGGAGAGGAACACATTTTTAGAAACTTTAACAGTCTTCCCAGTTCATGGCATTTTGTTAGGACTGCAAATTTTTTTAGTTTAACCTCTTTAACCCCAGCCTTCAACAAAGCCAATAATAATATTAAGCTTTTGCTAGAGAGGTAGTAGCAATCACTTCACAATTGTTTGAATTTTGTAAGCCTTATGTGTCAGTGCATACATGTATATCCCAACTGCAAATGGCCCACATGTTTGGTGTGAGCAACCACAAACAATCACAAAAATGGTGAGGCGAATTCGGGTATTTGAAACAGATTTTTCTCTTCAGTCTTGCCCCACTTTAGTAATAAAAAATGTAAATTAAAAATTAGGCTGAAATGCTATGCGAAAAAAATCAATAGGCAATTTCCTTTAATGGAATTGCACTGGTTATTGAATGTAACCATATGAGTGATGACATCTACTGAATCCAGTGAGTCCTTGAAGCCTCAGGAGTCCAAGGATAGCACAGCTCACTTGAGTTTGCTGTTGCCTGCTGTCCTGAAAGGTGATGCCTGGTCACCATTTCTACATCCAGCCTGGGTCAGCTGTGAGGCTGGACACCAAATCCTCTGTTCCCAGAGCCAAGGGAATGAATCTTTTGGTTTATAGCTTAGCTGTTCAGGAGTTACATGACAGGCACCCACATGGCACACAGACCTTGCACATGCCTTTAACACTATGCTGCTCTTGCCTTCATATTGGATAGAGATTCCTTAACAAAATCACCATCTTGAAACCAATTTTATTTTATTTCACCCTGGCTAGGCAAAGCCAGTATATGGAGATGGGAAAGCCCTTTGGTGTCTTAATCAAGCTCCAGTCCATTTTTCTTCAATGTCCCCTTTGATCCCTACTACTACCCAGCCAATTTCTCCATAATCTGTTTTTCAAAAAGTCTGGGGAAAAAGGCTTTTCCACTGTAAACCAGAGCACTGGTCAAAATTTTATCTGTAAAGTAAATATATTGATTTAACCCTAGTCTGGAGGATATTAAAGAGATCTTGCTAACACAATATATGTAGTCACACAAAGACTTTTGTTGTGTGGCAGCAGTAACAGTTATAGCTCCATAAATTAAAAAAGAAAGCAAAAACAAAATTATATTTAATACTTTTAGCAATTGCCCAGATTTACCAACTGCATTTTGGATTTCTGCTCCTCAATATTTTCGGACTTCTTAGAATTAACATAAGGAGCCCATGAAGGCCTTGGAGGGAGTGATCCATCTCAGAGCTCCCTACCCAAGCCCTGCACACCAGGCTCTGGTGTGGAGAGCACAATCTGACATCCCATTGCTGGGGATGAGGCATTGATTTTGGCATTAGAGTTTCCGTATATTTTTTCATTAGTGGTAACAGGAGCCTTTGGACCTTCCTGGCTGGTATTGTCACTACCAAGAGGTCCATGACCTTGGTGGAACTTGTGGGATTCACAAAACCAAAACAATGACCCAGAGGAAACAAAAGAGAAGACATCAAGAAAGGGGTTTGGAGGATCTCTCTTATATAGGCTATGGGATCTCGGCCTTTTTAGCCTATATAAGAGAAGACTGAGAGATCTCACCAGTGCATGTAAATATCTCAAGGGCAGATGTCAAGAGGATGGTGCCAGGCTCTTTCCAGTGGTTCCCAGTGATAGGATGAGGAGCAATAGTCATAAACTAAAACACAAGAAATTCCAGATAAACACAAGGCAGAACTTGTTTTCATTGAAGGTGGCAGAGCACTGGAACTGGCTGCCCAGAGAAGCAGTGAAGTCTCCCTCTCTGGAGACATTCCAAACCCACCTGGACATGTTCCTGTGTCACCTGCTCCAGGTGATATTGCCTTGCCAGGCTGTGGTAGATAGGGACAGGCGGAGCGGAAGATCACCGGGATGTCACGGAAAGACAGACCCCTTCCCCCCTCTCTCTTCCCCGCTTATCTGTTAACCCCAGGAGTCAGAGAAGAATGTAGCCACACCTGTTCTGGTAAAATTCCACTACCCACTATCCTCCGAGACCCCCAACCCCCCTCTGACGTAGCAAAGACCCCTAAACCTATTTAAACCCACGAAATAAGATAATAAACGCTTTTCAACCGTCTGCCATATTGGTGTCTGCGTGTGTTGATTAGCCCGAGTGGCTTGGACGAGACCAGGCTGCCGTGCTGCCATCTGAACCAGGCCCCTGGTTGTCTTTCATAAAGGCAACATACTGGTGCCGGAAACCCGGGACAAAAGAAGAAAAATTTGCCCGGCTGACGGGTTTCACCTGGACAGAAGCAGCGGCCAGGACGGTCGAACCGTACCCAGGCGTAGGGGAGACGTCCCCGGACCCGCGAGCGTCATAGACAGCGTCGCATGGGTCGTAAGTATGAGGCAATGGAATATCGCGTTTAAGCTCAGGAACTTTTATCTTGCTATAGCAAGGCTGCCTGGGCTTGGAGCAGCCGAATGCTCAGTGGATGCCATGCATCCGGGGATATGGGAACAGTGTACAGCCACGCTAGCCGGGGAGGCAAAATCCTCAGGCGAAAGCGTTACGGCACGGGGCAAGGTAAAAGAAACCCCGCGCAAAGCAATAGAAAAACAAAAGACGCAGAATGCAGCGCGCACGTGTTTATTAGTCAAACCCGAGCTCGGGGGGGGGGCGAAAGCGCAGACCGTCCCTGAGGAGGGTCCACCCGGGACCAGAGACCCGAGAAGGCTCAGCGCGACAACCCCTTCCCCGGATCAGAGCGCAGCCCGGCCCCGCCGCAGAGCTGAGCCCAGCCCAGCCCGGCAGAAGCAGCGCTGCCGCCGGAGCGGCGCGTTTCAAGCGGCGCGGCCCCAATCCCGCCGGAGCGCGCTCCGAGCAGCGCGACTCCGCTCCCGCCGAAACCCAAGCCCGCCCGCGGCTCCGCGCCGCTTCCCCGCCGGCGCGCCGAGCGGAGCAGCGCCGAACCCCGCCGCAGAAGCCCCCCGGGACGCCCCCACCGTGGAAAACCCCCGGGACACCCCCGCCGCGAAAAACCCCCGCGAAAACCCCGCCGCAGAAAAACCCCGAGAAGCCGCCGCTTCCCAATCCGTCCCGCCACCGCCGCCGGTCAGAGATCCGCGATCAAAGGCGCAGCCGCGCGCGGGGCGCTCTTGGCGAGAGCCGGCGGGAGAGACCGGAGTCGCAAGGGCCGCGGCTCGGGGAGAATCCCCGGCCGCCCGGCCATGCGGTCGCTTTGAAAATGGCGCCGAATGCCGCGGAGGGGGGCGGGACCCGGGCGGTCCCGACGCGGAAACTCAGACACCGCGCGATCTCAGAAATGCGCGCGTGTGGGAGAAAGGGGCGGAGAGCGGCTCGGGGCACAGAGCCAATCAGCGGCCGCACCGGGCGCCGCCACCATATAAGGGAAAAACCACCCCCCGCGGGGGGCGCGGCGAGCCGGGGGGGCGGGAGCGGCGCCACCCCCGCAGGGTGGAGCGAGCTCGGGGCCGAACAAAACAGCGCGGAGCCCCGGAAGTGCCCTGGCATTTGACTTCCGCCGCAGAGCCTGGCAACAACTCTGCTGGCTCCGAAGAGCCGGCGGAAGCTGACCGGAACCCCAAAACAAAAGATACAGAACCAGCACAGTTTAAAACAAATCCGAATAGAGTTCTAAGCCGCACCGAAAAGCGGTCACAATACCCCTTGGAGCTGCGGGAGAAAATGGCATCTTGCCAAAGAATACAGGTCCCAACCCCCGGACACACGAGCGAGGGGGGGGGGGGGGGGAAGAGCGCGCGCGGACGAACCCAGCCCCCTCCCACCGCAAATAACGGCGCGCGTGCCGCAGGGTCAGCAAGAGACGCCCCCAATACGGGACCCCGGGGTAGCCCTAGCCATGAAAGTGGGGAGAAAGCCCCCGGGGATGTAGGAGACATGCTGCCTCTGTGGCAATCAGAACCCCCATGTAGTGAGACCATAAGAGCCACTGCTGCACACCACTGCTACCAACCAAACCTGACCCTCAAAACAAAACTAATGAGAAGCTCTAAGTTCTGTTTGCAGGGCACGCTTGTGAACCATCCCAGTGACACACACACCCCTGCTCCAGAAAGAGATGACAGACCACCAAACTGCCAGACAACACCTGAGAATCCCACGGTGGTGAGATCTAATAAATACCCCATCCTTCGTGTTCCACATAGCCAGCCTGTTTAGAAGCTATTTTACTAACCCTAAATGAAACCAAATCAAACCTAACTAACCCCTATTAGTTTTACTATGATATTAAACCCCCTTTTCTACGAAAGCAATGCTTTAGATACCCCCTTCAGTTACTCCACAGCCAGTGTCCCCCACCAGTGCAAATGAGACACTCCCCACAGAAGACCAATAAGTAAATAGTCCCATCCACATTTGAAATGTAAGTTTGCCAAAAACCCAGAGTAAATCCTTATATGTTCCTTGCCAAGTTTAATAACTCTATCAATTTCTGTGTTCAAGTTCTAAAGTCCTGCATCACTCAGACGAAAAGATATACCATCTTCTCGAAAAACCTAACAGACTCCACAAAAAGAAAATCATCACAGGTATAACTATCGCTATGCTGCTCGGCTTGGGAGCAGCTGACACCGCCACGGGCGTCTCAGCCATCGCAACCCAGCAACACGGACTCTCCCAGCTGCAAATGACCATCGACGAAGACCTGCAGAAGATCGAAAAATCCATCTCCTATCTAAAGAAATCAGTCTCTTCGCTTTCAAAAGTAGTTTTACAAAATAAGCGAGGACTTGACCTTTTGTTTATGCAGCAGGGGGGATTGTGTGCGGCGTTGAAGGAAGAATGCTGCTTTTATGCAGATCATACAGGAGTCGTTAAAGACTCCATGGCAGAACTCCGAGACAGACTGGCTCAGAGAAAGAGAGACAGGGAGACCCAGCAGAGCTGGTTTGAATCCTGGTTCAATCAATCACCTTGGCTCACCACTTTAATTTCTGCCCTGGTAGGTCCACTGGCAATACTGCTTTTGGCTATTACCATAGGACCATGCCTGCTGAACAAACTAGTCTCGTTTGTTCAAGCCCGTCTGGAAAGGGCAAACATTCTGTTCATAGGCCACCAACAAATGCTATAAACCAAAAAACTGCAAACACAGTCAGTAGCTAAAGCCTTCAGCACCTGCCTTAAAAAATCTACCCTAATCTACTAAACCACCCTTTCCTTAACAAGTTACAAGTCTGTACCTCACTCCAATGCCTCTATCTACAACTACCTCATTTTGTATATGATAAGGAGGGGGGAGATGTGGTAGATAGGGACAGGCGGAGCGGAAGATCACCGGGATGTCACGGAAAGACAGACCCCTTCCCCCCTCTCTCTTCCCCGCTTATCTGTTAACCCCAGGAGTCAGAGAAGAATGTAGCCACACCTGTTCTGGTAAAATTCCACTACCCACTATCCTCCGAGACCCCCAACCCCCCTCTGACGTAGCAAAGACCCCTAAACCTATTTAAACCCACGAAATAAGATAATAAACGCTTTTCAACTGTCTGCCATATTGGTGTCTGCGTGTGTTGATTAGCCCGAGTGGCTTGGACGAGACCAGGCTGCCGTGCTGCCATCTGAACCAGGCCCCTGGTTGTCTTTCATAAAGGCAACACCAGGCTGTCAGACCAGATGATCTGCAGAGATCCATTCCATTCTAGAATTCTGTGGTGCTGTGACAGGCAGGATTGCCACATGCCTTTACCCTCCTCCTTGGGAGTTCATCCAGCAGCATCTGTATCTGAGCAGTGGAATCAGGTCACCTGTGCAGGAGCACAAGCACAAAGTGGAGAGGCTGAGGCAACATGGACCACATCTGCTGCTCTTGCACATTGGTAATTTGGTAGTTTATAGGAATTTGGTAATTTGCACAAGCTGAATGTGAGGCATTTTTGTAAGTTAACTTAGCCCTGCATTTTCACATTAGGGGTTGTAGTGAAACCATTTGAATAATCCAAGCCCCATGATTTAGTGCACCAGTTGGTGAATGCCAAATACCCTTACAAGCAGGCACAGCACATGTGGGATGCATACAGGAATTTTTAAGGATAAAATGCAAAACTGCTCTCCACTATAGTGAAAAGCACATGCAGTAACATTATAAATAAAATTTATCCTTAAAACAAAAATTGTGACTATGCAAGAAGAGGAAAGTATGGTGCTCTCAGAGACATCAGAATATAAACCCTTTTAACTACAGGATACTTCAGAAATTATTTCACAACCTTTTACTCTCTGGAACACAAGAAGTTGACTCCAGAGCTCAAGCTGCAAAGAGCAATTGCTGTAGCTGAAAGTATTTGTTTCAAAGCACTGTGGAAGTAAATGAAAGTGTCATTTTGTGCTAATGTGATAGGCAGCTACTCTGCCTTGTCAGAACAAGCAAAGTCCTGTAAGCTTTATCCCATTGCCACAGGCACTTGGGCACCTCTCTGGAAATCAATCACAGATTGGCCTGAAGAAGAGCAGAGCTGAAACAATGGCACCAGAGTAGAGGACCCCTAATGAAATCCATTTGCTAGTCCACACCTAGGCTGTCTAGACAGCACCTCCTGTGCTTTGATCACTGATAAACCATTCTAAATGTTACCAGGGCTGCTTTTTTGTTTCTGTTTACAGGCAATCAATAGGCCTCTGGCCATTGCCTCTATTTTCAAAGCAGCACTTTTCATCTGACTGCAATCAAATAAAAAAGAACAAAGAGATGGGCATTTTGGATATGAGATACTTATTTTCCTGTGATTTATACAATTTCAAATGAAGAGTGAAAACAAAAAAGCAATTGTGAGTGTACATGTGATAAATGTTTCTAATTAGGCATGCTCTCTTAATCAATTTGAAAGCTGTATTCCCTCCCAAAACAAAAAGCAAAAATTTAGTGTATGCTTTTGTTTGTGTGCATGTGTATGTGCTCATACTGCATAAAACCCACCTGCAGATTTTGGAGCCTGTTTTATTTGCATTGGAGCTACATGTCATGGTGCTATTTTGTGCTGTTTGCTAGTACAGTCATGATCTGCATTCTGAAAGCTCCACATGGAATATCCAGGTATTTTTCCAAGAGGCTCTGGTTTATGATTTAACCACAGTACAATTCAAACCATAGAAACTGAAGAATCTACCCCAAAACATCGTATACTACACTTGCTCGACATACACTGGCCCATAAATAATTCAGACTTTTAAGCCATACATACTGATATATACATTTTCTTAAGATTTGTCTAGGTACTGTTTTGCACGTGGATTTAAGCATGTTTTACCCAAATTCAAGTCCACAAATACCATGTGGTTGCCTTTAGCTGGATGTCGGTGCTTGAACTTTGAGCCCCTCTCATCTTTTATCTTCAGCAACTTGAAGTAGCCTGCTTAAATTCAGCCTTTGAAACCCTCCCAGCCCCTCCCTATGTATGTCATAACAGTTCAGCATCTTAAGCCTCAATCACATGCATTCTTTAAAAAACTGCAAAAGATCGTAAAACCAAGAAGAGATTTAATCTCATCTCTGAATTTGGCTCAACCAGTATATCATTTCAATACACTTTATTTCTTGTGTAATAATCCAAAGGCATTTTGGAGGCAGCTTAACAAAACTAAAAAAAAAATCAGCCTTGTAGGGCTAGGCATTTTTACTTCTTTATACTTTAAAATATTTCTGTTTCAAAACTCAAGTTCAAGATCAACTCTTTCTGGCTCATCTGTAATCTCCTAAATAATTGATTTCTTTGCTATTTCCTCTTCTCCTCTTTCTAATGATTTAATGAAGAATTTAATTAGGTGCCTTCAAAATTGCTGACCTCATGGGAAAGGGAACAGATAAACTCTTTCAACAGCATATTATGCTTAGACTGCTGAAGAATGGCACACTCTATGATCCTGTTTAACCAAGCCTTCGACTTCAGATGCTGAAGGATAAAACATTGTGTGCTTACCCTTGCCCCAAAATATTGCACAGTATTTTGCTCCCTTATAAAAATCTCATGAAATTAATCAAGATTTACCATTTAGTGATTTACCAGTGAAGTAACAACATAGAGGGGGAACAAGGGTCCAAAAAAGTGGAAATGCATCAAAACCTCTTTTAAAATAGGTCAAAGAAGTAGGAAAGTAGGGGGGAAAATAAAGTCATAATAAACTTGTTTAATCACAAGTGATGAAGAACAGAGAGACTAAGGCTCTTTCCCAGGCTCTGTGCATACTATTAATTTACTGGTGCTTTACTCAGGTTCCTGAGAGGATGCACAAAGTTTTCAGAGTTCAAGTCCCTACGTTGTATCACTGATTACAATAGGAGGGGTACATTATAAAAACACTCCATAAAACACTTCA